ACCAGGCTTTTAACTTTTATACAATAAAAAAATAACAATCAACACACACACACACACACACACACAGAATATATATATATATATATATATATATATAGACAGAAGCTTCGAATAGACCATCAAACTTCAGAGGGAAGGCAGGGGAAAGAAAGGGGTAAGAGATCAACCAAAGGACTTGTGTGCATGCATATAAGCATAACCAATATACACAGACACTATGGGGATGAGGGCATGGGGAGAGGTCACTGCTGGGGGGTGGGAGTGGCCAGGTAGAGGTCAATGGGGAAAAAATAAGAATATGTAATACTTTAAACAGTAAAAAATTAGAAAAAAAAAACAAAACCTATATATGTGATACTAAAATTTCTTGTTATAATGTTGGTCTAATTATTTTAATGTTCCATTTTCAGCTTACAAAAATGTAAAGAGGAAAACAATAGGCAGGCTTCAGGGCAAAAAGTCCAAAAGGAAATGTTGTAGAAGTATAGGTGAAAGACAGATTGTTGTAGTAAGAAAGTGCAGTCACCTGACCATGTTCAACCTTAACTGCCAGAATGATCAGAGCAAAACAGAGCCAATGTTTCTGGTCTTATTTATCTACTGGAGGCCCAGTGCATGAATTCGTGCATAGGTGGGGTCCCTCAGCCTGGCCAGCGATCGAGCCCTATCAGGAAGCCAGCCAGCCGGTGGGAAGGACCACGGGAGGTTGGCCAGTTGCTCTCCCATCAGGGCCTGGGAGGGGAGGGGGCGGGCGGCGCGTGGCAGTTGGCCACCACCCACCCCATTGGGGGCAGTCAGTTGGGGTGGAGGCAGCTGGGGAAAAGGGCTGGGGTAGTTGGAGGGGGCCAATTGGGGCCCAGATCAGGATGATTGGCCACTGCAGTGCCTGTCACAGTGACAGATCATTTTGGTTGTTCTGCTGTTTGGGTCACTGGGCTTTTATATATATATATATATATATATATATATATATATATATATATATATATATATATATATATAAAATACTAGAGGCCCGGTGCATGAAATTCGTGCACAGGGTGCTAGTGGAGGGGGTGGTGTTATTCCTCAGCCCAGCCTGCACCTTCTCCAAGCTGGGACCACTCGAGGGATGGCCGACTGCCTGTTTAGGCCCGATCCCAATGGGAGGGAAAGCCCTCGATGACAGAGTGGGCAGCAGAGGGATTGGGCCTAAAGGGGCAGTTGGACATCCCTCTCACAATCCAGGACTGCTGACTCCCAACTGCTCACCTGCCTGCCTGCCTTCCTGATTGCCCCTAACCGTTTCTGCCTGCCAGTCTGATCACCCGTAACCACTTCCATGCCAGCCTAATTGATGTCTAACTGCTCCCCTGCCAGCCCGTTTGCCCTCAACTTCCCTCCTCTGCTGGCCTGGTCACCCCTAACTACCCTCCCCTGCAGGGTTGATCACCCCCAACTGCCCTCCCTTGCAGGCCCGATCCCTCTCAACTGCCCTCCCCTGCTGGCCATATTGTGGTGGCCATTTTGTGTGCACATGGAGGCAGGATCTTTGACCACATGGGGGCAGCCATCTTGTGTGTTGGAGTGATGGTCAATCTGCATATTACTCTTTTATTAGATAGGATAGAGGCCTAGTGCATGAGTGGGGGCCAGCTGGTTTGCCCTGAAGGGTATCCCGGATCAGGGTGGGGGTGCCCTTGGGGTGTGGGGTGGCTGAGCAAGAGGCCTGTGGTGGTTTGCAGGCTGGCCATGCCCAGACGACCCAAGCAGAGGCCCTGGTATCTGGGATTTATTTACCGTCCACAATCAAAACTTTGTAGCCTGGAGGGGAGCCAAGCTTCCTGCTTGCTCCATGGCTGGCAGCCATTTCTGTTTGGATTTGTTTACTTTCTATAATTGAAACTTTGTAGCCTTGAGTGGAGGCTTAGGCCGGCAAGGGCAGGCGGAAAACTTGGCTTCTTTCATTTCCTCGGAAACCCAAGCCTCCCTCCTGCCCTCTGTGGCTGTAGCCATCTTGGTTGGGGTTAATTTGCATACTCTCTCTGATTAGCTGGTGGGTGTGGTTTGTGGGTGTAGTGGAGTGGTTAATTTGCATATTGCTCTTTTATCAGGTAGGATAGCCTAGAGGCCCAGTGCACGAAATTCATGCACTTGGGGAGAGCCCCTCAGCCCAGATTGCAAGAGGGTTCAGTCTAATTGGTTGGAACCCCAGCAACAAGCTAACCTACCTGTCGGAGCATCTGCCCCCTGGGTCATTGCATGTCATAACGAGCAGTTGAGCAGCCTTAGCATATCATTAGCATATTATGCTTTGATTGGTTGTTCAGTTGTTCTGTCATTAGGTCTATTTGCATATTATCCTTTTATTATATAGAATCTCTCTCCCTTATCCTCCTGTCCCATTCTCTATCTCAATTCTACCATTTCCTAGTAAGGAGATCTTAGAAAGAACTACAAGATTCCTCATGTGTGAAATGAGGACAAATATTTCCTTTTAAGTTATGTTTAGGGAATAATTGAGATAGTGCATGTGGTAGGTGGAACAGAGTAAGTATTCAATAAAGATGAGCTGCTAGTTAAATGCTGAATTGCAGAGGTTTTGATATTTTATTCCCATGTTTAGACAGTTTTACTCCATGCATCTTTCTCTATATTACTTTTAGTAAAACTTGTCTCAAACTCTTTTTAAAAGGTAGGCAAGATACTTAAAAATGAATGTTAAAGTAGTAAGGGTGTACTTTGTAACTGTGTTCCAAATGTAGTCCTGCTACAAGAAAGAATTAGAAATTGGACATTATCATATTGAACAAGAGAGAATTGACCTCACTTAGAAAAGGTGATGCTTTCTGTTCCCACACTCAATTATTGCTGTAATGTTTTTTTTTTCCACTGAACCCTGATGACCCAGACAAACTTCTGAGAAACACTATCGATTAGACCCCTTAAATAACTAAAAGTAGAGCATCTTGGTTTTCATCAAAGGAGGAAAGTTATGCTTATACATTAATATATTTCTGCTTTTTCTGTACACATACATCCAAGGAGACATCGAAGTATGGGTCACATTGACTAGAAACATTAAATCCAACTGCACCTGAGGTCTTACATAACTGACCACATTTACTTTTCATCTATCACCATGGTCTTCCACCTCCAGACTTCCTTCCCACACCCATCCATGCAACAAAGGTAAGAAAAGGAAAGGGCAGACTAATTTAATATCAAGTAATATCTAGTCAAAACTCTTAATTAACAGTTATTCCTACTGTGATAGTCATTTCCTTCTTTCTTCCCTCTCATCCTCTACTCCCTTTGGGATCCAAGGTCCTTCCCCCTGTATCCTATATTTATCTAGATCTATTATTACCTCTTCACAATCTATCTTTGTGTAAATCCCATCTTTCCCTGTGTGCACCCTGAAAGCAAGAAGCATGTCTTTCTTTTCAGTTGTTTATCCCTCATAGCACTTAGCAGAAAACCCAATAGGAGGTACTAGAAAATGTCTTAAAATCTATAATAATAAAAATGCAATATGCTAATTAGACCAGAAGACTTTCTGGACTGTGGTTGGCAAACCACGGCTCTTTGGCCCCTTCAGTGTGGCTCTTCCACAAAATACCACAGCCTGGGTGAGTCTATTTTGAAGAAGTGGCATTAAAAGAAGTTTAAAAAAAAAATTGGCTCTCAAAAGAAATTTCAATCGTTGTACTGTTGATATTTGGTTCTGTTGACTAATGAGTTTGCTGACCACTGTTCTGGACAAAGCAGAGACCAAGGCAGAGGCAGCCACCATAACGGTGGGGGTGGAGCCCCTTGCATGAATTTCATGTGTCAGGCCTCTAGTCTATTTATATAAAAGACTAAATGACCACTGCATCTGAAACAACCGAATAAACAATCGAACAGGATGTGTGGGGCGACCAGGCTGGCAGGCGGGTTAGTGAGGCATGACCAAATGACTGAGCAGCAGGTTGCGTGGGGTGACCAGGACGGCAGGAAAGTTAGTGAGGGGCGACTAAACAACCAAGCAGCAGGCTGTGTGGGGTAACCAGGCTGGCAGGGGAGTTAATGAGGAGCAACCAAATGACTGAACAGCAGGCTGTGTGGGGTGGCCAGGCCCACAGGGGGGGCAGTTAGGGGCGATCAGGCCAACGGCGGGGTGTGGGGGAGATGGACAGCGAGGGGCGACCAAATGACTGAGCAGCAGGCTGACTGGAGTGACCAGGCCAGCAGGGGTATGAGGGGCAACCAAACGACTAAGCAGCAGGCTGAGTGGGGCTACCAGGCCCACAGGGAGCACGGGGGAGGGGGAAAGTTAGGTGAGACCAGACTGGGGGGGGGGGGCAGTTAGGGGCAACCAGATTGGCGGGGGCAGGGATAGTTGGGGGTGACCAGATTGGTAGGGGTGGGGATAGTTGGGAGTGACCAGGCACGAAGGCAGGTGAGCAGTTAGGAGCCAGTGGTCCCAGATTGGGAAGGGTACAGGTTGGGCTGGGAGGTACAGTGCATGAATTTTGTGCACTGGGCCTCTAGCAAGTAAATAAAATAGTCAGAAAACCTGGACTGTATTGTCAATAATGCTCTATGCTGGTCCTGTAGCTTCATATTTAAGCATTTTAATATCAGTTTCCTCTTCTATAAAGTGGGACCCTTACTTGCTCTGTTATTACATATAGTTTCATAAATTGAAATGATGGAAGTAAAAAGAGCTTATTGTTATGCTAGTTTAAAGCTATATGGTTAGTTCTGTTGAACATTATTACTTGTCAACCAAACTTCTTAAATTTAAGTAGGGATAATACAGTTATTCTTTTAGGAAAGGCAGATTTAATTAATACATTTACTTGCTTTAAAAAAAAATAAAATAAAGATATAAACAGCTGGTAAAACATTGATTTACAGTATGTCATCACAAGCATGTATAATATTTATGTTTGAAATAGAAATGGCCCATGTTAATTGTGCCATATTTTCCAATTACAATTATGAGTTAAATAAAGTGTTTGGATATTTCTTACCAGGTTCCGGAAGGTCTAATTTTGCCCGCTTTAGTTCTGCCATAGAAATCTGAAGTTGCTCTATTACAAAGTCATCTTCAAAGAAAAAGTCCTTTGCCAAGGTCTCCTGAAGAAATTCTACAAGTTCTTCCATAGACAATTTCATTAAATGTTCTGAGAAAGGACAAAATAAAATGCTATGTCAACAGCTAGTTTAGGTTGAGAAGATAATGTATTCTATTCTGGAGTAGCATTTTTTTAAAGGGACAACAAGAAACAAATTAAATATGGCATTGCGAATATCATTGAAATTCAGTATGATAAAACAGTCACAGAGAAAAGCAGGGACTCTTAGTGTGGGGATGAGGAACTAAATATTACTAAATGCCTTCTTATTGGTTTATTAATAGTAATAATCATACCTAGCATTCATATTAATCTAGAGCAACAGCTACTTAGATACAACAGACATAGATCACCTAAGATGACATGAGATCTTTCTGTTTATTAACATGGAGCTCAAAACTCACTTTTAGGTCTATATTTTTACTGTTTCAGAATTTCAAAAAAATATGGATTACTAATTTTACTTATATTTCTACTTATGAAATTACTTTTATAGGAAAAACTAAAATTATAGCTATAAAACAGAAAGTAAAAATGAGCTAAGATCCCATAGTAACTGCCCTATAAGATGTATATACATGTATATCAACTTAAAAAGTAAATAATGCCACCTTGTTTCCCCCCCACTCAATAACCTATATCACAGATATCCCTTATTTCAACAAGTATACTTGTACACCATCATTTTTAATAACTGTGTTCATTTGCTATAATTTTTAATATAGAACACTTAGTTCCTCCCTCCCTTTTGTTTTCCCCTCATTTTTTACTGTTAAACCCATTGTGTGGTGAAGCTGCAAGAACAATGTTTCAATAGTGTTAAGGTAATTGGGAAATAACCTAGAGAAAATCTTGGGAGCTTCAACTAACTTATTGGTTAAGGGCTCAGACACAGTTTTTGAAGCTTCATATGGCAGTGAATGAACTTCCTGTAAGTCTTTGAGCTTTCTCTTTCTAAGAAAAAATACACAGTAGCACACAGACTTTTTTCCCACAGCTTTAGACTACTGAAATGATAATATAGTATGTAATTGTTACACTTTATTTACAAAGGGTGAAGAAACTTTTTACTTATCAAAATTAATCTAGAGACATATAAGTAAAAATACTTTAAGAGGGAGAGGAGCACTATCGAGAAATAGAACTTCATATTTTTACTTATTAGTTTAATGTTTAGGGAACATTAATAAGTAAAAATCTTAATACAAAGTTTAGTTTTGTTTTATATCTTGGTCAATTTATAATACAGAAAGAGGAAAAGGGGAGGAGAGATTGAGAGAAACGGAGGGACACTGATTTCCTGTGGCTATAGGACAGTCTTGGAGACAATTCATTGTCAATTGTTTTGGTTGGTGCTGTGGTTTGTGTGTTGGGGAAGTAAGGTTCTGGGTGTAAGAGAAACAAATCACTACACTTCTGAATCCTTTCTTTCAGAGTAAACAATACAAATATGATTTTAAAGGGGATTTTCCTTCCTGTCTAAAGTTTGGATAATCTGGTGCTCATGAAGTCCACTCTTTTCAGGTAAGCAATCAAACCATCTTATATTAAAGTATCTAATGTGTGCTTAGAACAATGCTAAGCACAGTAGAGGAAAAACTACAAAATATGACCTCAAGTACTCAATTAGATTATAATTTAGTTGGGAAGCTAAACAGATGAATCATTTGAGAATGTATGAGAGTGAATACAATGAACGTAAAGCTATGTTGTGTGACCTAATTAGAAGTCCACATGCAGTTCTAAAGCTTTCAGTGATTCTCTTTTCTCCTAAGCTTAAGGTGACCAGACGTCCCGCTTTTGGCAGGACAGTCCTGATGTTTAACAATTTGTCCCTCAGCATTTTTAAAAAGTCCAAAAATTTGGAAAGAATCTTTCCAAAAATCGGGACTTTTTTAAAACGCCGCAGGCCGCAGGACAAATTGTTAAAAATCAGGACTGTCCTGCCAAAAGCAGGACGTCTGGTCACCTTACCCAACTTACAATAGTAGTCATAATTTTTAAGGTTGAATTGAGACTCTAAGATGAATAAGATTCTTCATTTTATGAAGAAAATCTCTCATTTCTTGATTTTAAACAAGGCATAGCACATCAAATTTACTGAGCCCCATAAATATTACAATTGCAGACTTTTTAAAGCCTTGTTGCACTTACAGTAGGCAACTATAGACATGAACCGCACTTGCCCTCGAGGCCACAATGCAGCCAAGCAGAGAGATGAACTGGAGTGTCCCCATCTCGTGTCTATACCTAGGATGCTTTTTTACCCTAGATAAAGAAAACAGTAATGGAAAATATCCTCTCTAGACCTGTAGACTAAGGTGCTTGGTTTCTTTGGTCTCCCTCTTCTAGTACAAAGCTGAGATTCAGACTAATAAAAAGAACAGGGTCCCAGTGGAAACAAATCTACATTAATAAAAGAGAAAGAAAGAAAGAAAAAGATTCAAATTGACCATACACTCATGATGGCCACCAGCCAATCAGGAGTGAGTATGCAAATTAATAAAAAAAAGATGTCAGGTTAGTTCGCATATACAGGTATCGATTGGCTGAGGACTGGATGCTTGTGTCATCGCCATGGTTCTGCATCACCTAAGCTGCTCTGGGTTTCTGGGCAGCGTGGAAAGGCGGGAAGGTGGAAAGGCAGTTCTGGGCCAGAGTGAAGGCAGAAAGGCGGCTCCGGCCAGAGCAAAGGTAGTGCTGGCAGCCAGGGGAAGGAAGGCCCATTTTTGCACAAATCTTTATGCATTGGTCCTCAAGTACTTAATAAGATCAGTATTATTTGCAAAACCAGCACAATGCATTCTACTGATATAGAGAAAAGAATCAAAGACCTTTGCAATGAAGTAAACTTTATCCTAAGAACCAATGAAAGTAAATTATCAACTGAAGATAATTTGTTCATTGTTTTTCAAAAAAATTTTTTAAACTCACTACTAAAAGAAAATGAAGTTGAGTGGGAAATGAAAACTCAGAGTTAAAACATGACCAGATTTTTTCGTGAAATTTTTATAGTTATTCATTTTCTTACTTCTGTGTAATTTTAAGATTGTATAAGACATAGCAGTAAGAACTCGTTCTCCTTCAAAGATGTAGATATCCCATATTCTGAGGTTTAGCGTAAAGGGAGTCTGTAATTAAAAACAGACAGAAATAAGATTAATAGTTTACCCAGTCTGATATTTGAAATTTCACAATTCGGTTTTGTTAATAAATACTCACACGATCAAGGAAACATTGGAAAAACCATTTCATTGTATAAAAACTTGTGTAAATTTCTTGAGAATCCTGAAAAACAAAGACTTCATAATTTCTGGATTGTAGCAAACAAAACATGACATATAACACTAAAATTTACGAAAGCTCTGGGAGGTAGCTGTCAAAGCTATACATAAAACCATTTCATTACGAACCTTTTTTCATGTTGCTGTAAGATTTCTACTTTTTTCTTTTTGTTTCCTCTCTCATTTTTTACTTTTGAAAATCAAATTCTTCTTATGACAGGATTGTAATACAACATTTTGATTCTCTTTAATATAGTTGATAGTGAAGTATCTTTGCTTTACTAAACTACTGTGCTTTATCATAGATTATATATATGGTTCATTAAGGACAACTTTATATGACCTTTAAAAAACTTTTTGTGCAATAAAAACACCTTCAAACCCTAGCCAGTGTGGCTTAGTTGGTTGGGCATCAACCTGCTTACTGAAAGATTACGTACTGGTGTGATTCCCGGTCAAGGCATATGCCCAGGTTGCCATTTTAATTCCTTCTAGGGGTCTTGCAGGAGGCAGCCAATCAATGTCCCACACTCTCACATTGATGCTTTTTTCTCTCCCTTTCCCTTTCTTTCTCTCTAAAATATCAATAAAAATCTTTTAAAAAATACCTTCAAAATTACTGAAATATCATATATCTTTAAAAGCTGTATATATCAGCTTCAAAGAAATTTGAGTTAGGGCTGTGTTAGTTGATCAATCAATATTAAATTTCACAAACTCAATGTTCTTTAAATAACTGGGAATTATAACTATACTAAATGAAATGGACAGCAATATAAATTGATAAGGTAATTGGGACCAAATGCTGCCCTTAATTCTGCTAGCTTTATTCTTGGTGTAAGTGGGTTTAAGTCATTGTAGCATCTACCTACCAAGTGTTGCTTGAGCTTGGACAGGAATTTATTCAGTATTTTTTCATGATGTTCTTGAAACCTCAAAAGTTTAGGAAAACCATGGACAAAAAAGCCTAGGATACAAACATAAAAATAATATTTCTTAAATAAGACCAACAAAAATTCCTATTTTAAAATACAATCTTTTCCCCCCATTTTTAACTGTCAACAACAACAAAAAGTAAATCCAGTAGTTAGCAAAATATTTTCCTCCCCACCCAGAAAATAATTGTGTATGAGCTTTAATAAAACCTTGCATTGTATTTATTTTTTAAAGATCTCCTATAACCTTATGAAAATATAAAAGAGGACAGAACATTTCTGAATTAAAAGGAAAACAAAGAAGCTAAGAAAATATAAAAACTGAAGTCATTAATCAAGATTAGACTAGAGGCGAAATTTGTGCAGCAGGTGGGGGGTGGGGGGGAAGGGGTAGGTACATTTGTCCCTCAGCCCAGCCTGCACCCTCTCCAATCTGGGACCTCTGAAGGGATATCCAACTGCCTGTTTAGGCCCGATGCTGGTAGGTTCAAATCTAAACAGTTGGACATCTCTCTCACAATCCAGGACTGCTGGCTCCCAACTGCTTGCCTGCCTGCCTGCCTGATTGCCCTTAACTGCTTCTGCCTGCCAGCCAGATCACCCCTTAACCACCTAACTACTTCCCTGACTGCCTGATCAACACCTAACTGCTCCCTGGCCAGCCCTATTGCTCCTAATTGCCCTCCCCTACAGGCCTGGTTGCTCCTAACTGCCCTCCCCTGCAGGCCTGGTTGCTCCTAACTGCCCTCCCCTGCAGGCCTGGTTGCTCCTAACTGCCCTCCCCTGCAGGCCTGGTTTATCCCCACTGCTCTCCTCTGCTGGCCTGGTCACCCCTAACTGCCCTCCCCTGAAGACCTGGTTGCTCCCAACTGCCCTCCCTTTCAGGCCTGGTCCCTCCCACCTGCCCTCCCCTGCTGTCCTGATCACCTTTTGCCCTCCCCTGCTGGCCATATTGTGGTAGCCATCTTGTGTCCACGTGGGGATGGCCATCTTGTGTGTAGGAGTGATGGTCAATTTGCATATTATCCTTTTATTAGATAGAATTATCTGTTCTCTTAAAGTATTGGGTCATATCTTAAATGTGCAAATTTTTATAGGTTATTCTAACTCTGATTTTTTATCATTTTGTTTTACTGTTAATATATTACATAATAAACATTTCACTACTTTTTCAAGATTTACTCTTAACAATTTAATTAGTATCATTCTTCCAAAGTTTCTATCACTTTTAATCTTTCTATAAGTGATATTTAACAGCAGATAAAATACATTGGCACTATGTGATCAATGTTATATCAAAAATGGAATTTTACTCTACCTGATTATATAATATCCTATATAATAAAAGTGTAGTTTGCAATTCTACAACCCAGGAGTTTGACCAGGGGGCAGGGCCGGATGAGGAAAGGGAGAGAGGCCACAGCTGGCTGCCGCCAGCCATTAGGGACCCTACCAGTGCATGAGTTTCATGCCCTGGTTGGGTCTCTAGTAAAGTATAAGATTTCTAGATGGCAACTAATTGTAAATAGTAAGTCAATATTAATTTTGTGTATTTAATTCATGGAATCTTACAGCTATTTTTATTCACAAGTTTTCTTTCCGATATTCTACACATTCTATTAAAAAGGATATATATTTAATGGGTTTATAATTTTTCCATATTCGTATTAAAGTTTCTCAGTTGTTTGATAGACCAAAGAAACATTTTTCTTTGTTTAATTCAGTCTTCCAGACTTACTTGATCCTGAAGACCACCTTTACCCCATAAAACTTTGTTTCCCAAAGTAAAACTATGTTCCTCACACACTTTTGGGAAATACTGCTTTATATATTTTGGGGAAGGGCTAGTTCATAACTAATTCTGTTTTCTAAGGTGTGTGTAAAAATTTCCACAGACATTCTATTCTATTCCTCCCCTAGTAATGTTTTCCAGTGAAATGATTTCATAAAAAAAATCCATATCTCTGTCTGTGCCACTTTCATGGTCAATTTGATAGGGATGGAAACTGGAAGAATCTCAAGGGTCTGATTTTAAAAGTAATGTTCTTCAATAACAAGTACTAGCTAAAATTCTTAATTTTTCTTCACTTTTCAGTTATATCCTAGACTTGATATTTTAAATCTCATTTTCTTCAGCCCTCACTATATTGTATACATTTATAAGTGATACTTAAATATATGTAATGCAAAAAAAAATAACTTTTCAAAATAGGGAAGTCTACATATTTATGTATACTTAAATTATAACATTCCACTGTACTTCAACATATATCAGTGATACTATCCCATGGTAAAGCAAAATAAAAACTGATGCAAGGCAGAGTTATATTTTTTTCAAGATGCTTTTTAAAAGATGCTGTCCATTGGGTGGCAGTTCAATGTAATATGTCAGACTTTTGGAGTCTATTCAAGGGGTGCAAAATGTCCATAAACAGTTACCATAAAGATAGTATTTTTTTTTTTTTTAATTCACAAGGAACACTAAGGAAAATAGCCAAATGCTAACACACACGAGTGGTCATGTGCGCATACACATACAGACCACACACATACAAAATACCCCCCAACCCACATAGTAAGAATGTGAGATTTAAACTATGAAAGGTCATGTGAGATTTAATAAACTGTAAACTATGGAAAGTGATGTTAAAATGTCACTTTAAACATATGGCAGGTTCCCTACAACATAGGTTTAAATATTCATTTAATACCAAATAAAAGCAAAAATCTAACACCAATCACTCCAAGAATGGTTAAATATAAGTTCTTTAGCTTTTCTAAATTCCTCCAAACCTAAATTAGTTTATTCTGATTGGAGGGGCAATTAAAAAAAGAATTTTTAAATGCCAACAATATACTCTGGGGTAAACACAAAGGAATATAAATGTGAACAGAAAAATTTAGAAGAGTTCAATAAAAAAGAATGAAATAAAAATAAGTAACAAACACTAATTAACTGAATGAGCCCCAAACAATAAGTTTTTGTTCTTAACTCTGCCAACCATCTTCCATAGCTGTGCTTTAATTTACCTTCTTTCACCCTCCCTTGCTTATTATGTAAGATAACTATGGAGCTTTCTTACCATGCATGGCATGTTTGGGGCCTGAGAAGAGTTTGACCAGGGCCCAGAAGGCATCTTCTTCATTCATATACATAAGGAGTAAAGCTGTGATCTGGCTCATCCCCTGACAGTATCCAACTTCCTGAAGAACAAATGAGAACAAATAACTGGAGGTTTTAAGATCAAATTATATGCATATGCACATATAAAACTGACCTATAAAATAATCAGAAAATGCCTAAATACATTCTTGAGTGAGCAATTCCACAAAAATTTTAAATACCAACAATATACTCTGGAGTAATACTATTCAATACTGTTCTAAAAGGGTACTAACAGTATATATATGCCTGGTACATGAAATTTGTGCATGGGTACAGTCCCTAGACTTGGCCTGCAATCAAGGCCATCTTCCCCAGCTGTTTGCAGCTGGCCTTGCTCCCCAATGTCCCCCCCCCCCCCATCCCCATTCACCATCAGGTGATCAGTACCTGAAAGCTGGGGGGAGGGACTGAGTGGTCGGCTGTTCCTGCCAGCTCGCCAGCCCTAACCCCACAACTGGTGTCCATCAGGGGATGGGAGCCTGCTGGCTGGGGAAAGGGACCAATAGGTGGTCAGTGCACCTCATAGTGACTGATCTGGCAGTTGTTTTGGTCATTCTGCCATTAGGGTCAATCCGCATATTACCCTTTTATTATATAGGATAGAGGCTTGATGCACAGGTGGGGTCTGGCTGGCCTGCCCTGAAGGGAGTCCCAGATTGGGGTGGGGGTCCCTCTGAAATGGAGATAGTCTGGGCGAGGGACCAAAGCAGTTTGCAGGCTGGCCACACCCTCAATCAGAGTAGGGGTCCTTGCTGGGTGGTGGTGCCCGGCTACACTGCTGATTGGTGTGGGGGTCCCCACTCAGGGCAGGCCCAGCCTGGGTGAAGAGCTGAGGGTGGTTTGCAGGCTAGGCACACCCCCGATCGGGGTAGGGGACTCCCCCTGGGGGTGGGCCCGGGCTGGGCGAGGGACCACTGGAGGTTTGCCAGCTGGCCAAACCCCCCAGCTTTGCCAGGAAGGACGCCTGGTCTAATTAGCATATCACCCTTTTATTAGTATAGATTCTCAATAGTCCTCTTCTTTGTTCAGATGCTGGCAAATCTCTCTCCTCCTACAGGTCCCAGTTCACTGTCTGTCCTTCTCTAGACTTCTGGACCTTTATGTACACACATTCGCAGCCTGTGCCCCTACTCTGAGAACTGCCCACTCTCCCCATGTCTCCTGTTCATCAAGTGGCCTTAGGTGTAAATGAACCAAAGCTGATAGAGCATAAGAGGACACTTGACTCCAGGTGATCGATAAATTGGCTGCACTAGCTAATCACAAACTCTTTCCAGGAAATCTGAATAAAGACTCAGAGACTGTACCAGATGGTAATGTGTCCTTGAATAGAGTGGTCACGGTGAGTCTGTGGTTGCAATTTTAGCCATGGAAAAACTGATAAGTAGGCAAACAAAGCAACTAGAGAGAGAAATATTGGAATAAACAGTTTATATAGGTAATCAGAGTCAGCTCAAGAGGAAGGGAGAAAAAGTGTAGCTCTTTCTCATGGAAGGCTTTGCACTACCTTCAACTCCCAGGAGGCCCAAATACTGCTTCATCTCTATGAGAAGTTCCTTTAGTATACTCCTTTTTAACTTGCCCTAGTTTGAGATTTCTATCCCTTGTAACTTAAAGGTTCCATTATAATAAAAATGACTTATCTCAAGGTTCAAGGCTGTCCTTCCTGAAACCTAGTCAGCAAGCATTAATTTAACACCCAAGTTAGGTTCAACCCTAATTGATCTTCCATAAACTTACCATCTCCCCCAGAATGATAAATATTTTAAGAACCATTACCAGAAAGGTTAGCCTTAGTCTGCTCTTTGGAATAGCAAGTAGACACAGGCAGTACCCTAGTCGAACTTCACTGAATGGATCAAGTATAAAGTAAAAATTAATTTAGCTACCAACTTCCTGTCTTTCTACTGCTGGTCATTCCCAGTCCTGTTTGCTTAAAATTAAAATAAAACAAACAACAACACAAAAGTAATAAGCAAACAGGCTGCAGAAAGAGGGGAAAAGTGAGGTTTACTGATACGCTGTGAGCTTTCCCACTTCCAAACCAGCTTTGCTCTAGACTCAGGGTCACTGGAAGGAGCCCTGAAGAGATCCGCAGATCAAAGACGGGGGACCATCTAGTCCTCAGATGAAGAAACTCAGCCCAAAGGGCCTTGTTAGGAAGGGAGTGCTAAAAGATTCCTCCTGTTCCACAGAATGCTCCCCCAAGAGCTACAGGTAGGCATGTTCCAACTTACCGTATTATAAATAGAATATGCAGCAAGAACATGGAACAGGGATTGTTGCCTAGAAGGGGAAAAAATTCATATTGAACACAATCTAGTTATTTCACACATTTTAAAAATTATAAGCTTAAAAAATAGGTTGACTGAAAATAGATAATCCACATAAAATTTCTAATAAAGAAATGAACCCAAACTCAAATTTTAACAATTTCTATGTTATTTTATTTTATTTTAATTTAATTTTATTTCTATATTGCTATTTGAAATTAACAATTTCAAACTTATACCTAAATTTGAGGTTAGATAACACTCATTTTGATAGAAAGAATTTATGCCAAAAAACATAATAGACTTCACAATTACTTACATTTGTTGCCTTCTTTCACTGAACTATTCTCACTATAAAATCATCCCTATGGAAACAACTGGCCTGACAGAACCATCGAATGGCCTGAGTTACATGCCAGCCAGCTAGGTGTACAATACCTGTAAGGCTGAGGCAATGTCTTCCAGGAGGTTGTACATGCTTTAAATCAGCCTGCATATATGGTGCTGTCTCTCCCATAGCCAGGACCCAGAGGTCCAAGGCTGAAGGGGTGGAAGTGGGAAGGGCTCCATCCACAATTATCTCTAGTATTCTAGTAGCAAAATGTTAATTTCCCTTCCCATCAACCTTAGGCTCTCTGGCAGTCTGGAGGTCTTAGAGGGCTTCCACCAGGAAACACAATGATTCCACTGAACTGAAATTGGAGACTGCCACCAATACTTTTGGTTCTTCTTGCCTTTAAATCAAAAGGCAAAAAAGTGGCTGAGGTGACTGATCCTAATTATTGAGGGAAAATTGAGTTGCTACTACATAATGGCATAAGGAAGGGTATCTAAAATATAGGAGAACATTTAGGGTGGTTAGCATTACCAAAACCTGTGATTCAAGTCAATAGAAAACTACAACAATCCAATTCAAGCTGGATTATTAATGGTCAAGACCCTTTGGAATAAAAGTTTAGGTCACCTCACCAGGTATATAACCACAGCCAGTGGGAGTACTTGCCAAGGGAAAAGGAATTAGGGACTGGATAGGGAGTTATAAACTAGCTCTGACCACATGCCTAATCAGAAATGAAGACTATAAATTAGTATTTCATCCTTATTTTTGGTATATGTTTGTCTATGTTAAAACATTTTCCTTCCTTCTCTTTTTTCCTTGTCACCCTTATGAGATATAGCAACAATAGTTAACTTTATATCATAGTAATTAGTTGATAGAATATTAAAGCAGAACAGTAAACAGACATCCTTTGTGGGGAAAGGGTTAACATATTCAGTCATAAGCAGTCAGGGCAAGGTATAACTTTGTTATTGTTTTATTTGGAAATTAAATTGATAAAGGTTGACTGTGATGGGGAAATATTGTCAACTTGGCAAGACTACAGAGTGCGGTGACAAAGAAGGTATTTTGCACATGTGATTAAAATCCATAATTGGTTGACTTTAAGTAGAGCAGATCACCCTAGATAGTCTGGGTGGGCCTGATCCAATCAGTTTAAAGGCTATAAGAGCAGATCTGTGGCTTCTCTGAAGAGGAAATTCCTCCTGTGTCAACAGGTTCAGCTCATGCCCAAGAATCCCTTTGGACCTCAGACCTGCCTAGTCAGCCCCTAAAACTGTGTAAGCCAATTCCCCACAAAAATTCTCTTTAATATATAGTGTGTGTGGTTCCCCCTGCCCCCAAATTTATACACAACTTTGAATAATTATAAAGGCAGTGTTTATTAAAATACATTTCATTTTTAAAATTGAGCCATCAGCTATTAAAGTGTATATACATTTTGGGGGCAACCTGTATATATTTATTGGTTTCTGTTTGTCTGGTTGAACCCTAACCAATATAGAGGTCAGCAAAACTATACTTTTTATTCATAACTATACTTTTCAGTCATAGTCAATTCATTCATTCATTTCACTAAAGGTTTTTTTTTTTAGTTTCATCTACATATGAGGTGATGGTTACAGGGATATATTTATCATTGACACAATTTTCGAAAAGCAATACATCTCTCATTTCTTTTCCAAAATGTTTAATAAAAGTGTCATATTTTTAAGAATTCAAATATCATGATTCTTTTAACAATTTTGTAGCACCAACTATGTAAAAAATTTAAAAGTTTAAGTTAACTTTGAACCTAAGTTTCACACATGAACCAAATGATCTGCAAAGCATAAAACTTCGGGACCTGAATGAAAATTATTAGTCTTTAGGAGACAGTCTAAACATTAAAATATTTAAGTCAATAAAAATTTTGATTCAGACTATTTACAAAGGCTATTTACAATGCATAATATTAAACTTTACTTACTTGACACCGTATCTGTCTCTAAACATAATATGGTCCCTAAATGTGCGGTTGACATCAAGGTCTATTTGTCTGATATCAGGTGAACAACTACGTGCTTTGTGTTTTAATTTCTGAAGAGGAAAAAAAAAGGGGGGGGGGGAGAAAGCACATTTTGACAAGTAGTAAAATAATTTTCATTTTAAAAGTTCTTTTGGTTTAGGGAAATCATTCCCATTGTTCAAACATGAAAAAACATAAAAAGATACACAATGAAAAGTTTCTCTCCTATTCACCCCCATCTCTACTATTCCCATTCCCTCTTTTCCCATCCCTGTCCTATCAATAGAGGTAGATGCTAATTTTGGACAGAGAACTTTTTGGTGTTTGCATTGCAATATAAAAGCTCTTCATAGCTAAGCCATCTAGTCTATTATGATTTCTTTTTTTCTTTCCAAATATTCTTGTTTTTCTTGATCATTGCATTATTTCTTGATTTGTTTGTCTTCTACATAGCTGTCACTAACTCAATCCCAAACTCACTTTAAGTTGCATAAATCTCTTCTGGTGATGCTCAAATTGAAGGGGTATTCTCCCAATTTCAACTGTTTGCAGACATTGCTCCCAGAGCCTTTTGACCTGCTCTAGTTTGGGCTACTGCACAGGTGTCTTGGGTCTCCCTTCACCATCTTCTAGGCCTCTCCTTGCTTGGGTCCCCTGTTTCCTGCATTTCACATCTTTTTTCCTGGTTTATTTCCTTGTTCCAGAGGACCACATCCTCCAATAGCTCCTGTGAAAGGCTGTATTTTTTGAAACTTTGAATGTCTGCTAGCTCCCTCCTTTCTTAAATATTTGGCCATTTTGAGTTCTAAATTGGAAAATATTTTTGCTCAAAAGGCATTGCCTTCATTGTCTTCTAACTTCCATTGTTTCCATTCTAATTCATGCTTCATTATATAAAGTCTGTTTTTTCTCTCTAGGAGCTTATAGGAGTTTCTCTCTCTAGGTCTGAAACACATTTTTTGTGCTTGATCTGGATCTATTTTTATCCACATGATTGGGCATTTGATGGATCTTTTCAATCTTGAAAACTCATACATCTCTCAGTTCTGAACAATTTTCTTCAATAATTTCTTTGTTGATTTCCCCAGCCTCCCCTCCCACGTTCCCATTTTCTCTTTCTGGAACTCTTATTATTACAGTGTTGGATCTCCTGGGCTGTCATTTAATTTTCTTATTTTTTTCTATTATTTCCATCTCTTTGACATCATAATCTACTTTCTGAGAAAATTCTTCAATTGTTATTTTCAGCTCTCCTCTAGAATCTTTCATTTCTATTATCACTTTTATAATAACAAACTCTTTGCTGTTCTCAAATGTTCCCTTTAAGAGCATTCTATACTTATTTTATGGATGCAATATCTATTTTTATCCTTCTGAAGAAACTGATAGTTGTTTTGTTTTCTTCTACCGTAGTTTGTTTTTTGCAAGTTCCTTTTTTCCATTTGTCCTCATTTATCTTTCATATTAGCTCCTTTCCTTAAATGAACAGTGACACTTCGTTGTCTCGTATATTTAAAAGTAGCAGACGAACAGCTGGTGGAAAGCTTTGTGTGCAGAGGTGGGGATTCACAATTGTCTTCAGTGGTTGGGTAGTTTTACTGGGGTCCCCCTGAAGTCAGTATCTTTGGGTTAATTTTCTTAAGGTAGTCAGATTTTCCAGAAAAGGCTCTTCTGATCTGCCAAAAAGACAAGCACTCAGCAATCGATGTTCTAGGAGCTGAGTGGAAGGAAAGACTGCAATGCCCCAAATTCAGGATATTCAATTCCTCTGTACATGCGTTACAGCACCCACACTCAGCAATGCCTGTGTTCTCCAGTCCAAAGGCCCAAATGGTGAACCTCCAATCTTCTGCTTGGGTTGGGGAAGGAGACTTAAGGGCTCTAAATGCTTCTGCAACGGACTTTCAACCACTGTGTTTAGCTTCACTTCCACTTCCAGAGGCACCTGGAATTGGTAATTATCAAGACTTGTGGAGATTATGAAATATTAATCAAGTGTTTCTCCAATTTCTCACTACTAGCTTATGATTAGTTTTCTCAGGTTTGCTAAGACTACAAAGTATTTGTCTGAATTCTAGTTTTCAAAAATTGGCAGCTGTTATCTCTTCTCCTATTTTTTTCTTCTTTGTGGGTTTGTCTTTTAAAACACCCTCTCCTGTCAATTTAGTGGCATTTCACCCATGTTTAATCAGATGGGAGATTAAAACTTATAAAATTTATACTTACCCATGATTAAGTCTCATTAAGCCATCTATACACATGTTATATTGACCCATTGACTGTAAACTGGTAATATATTTCTGCTAAAATCAATTCCAAAAATATACATAAACTATAATTGTTAATTCTCGACTTAAGCTAAACGTGAAAAAAAAAGAGATATATTGGATGTGAGTGTAGATGTAGTTTTGTGTTTTGAGGTGGAGCTCAGAGAAGAGCAGCTCTGTAGTTTCTAAAACATTCCAACTAGCCATGGTGCCCTTCAGAGTTCCAAGGACAGAGGAAGATAACTTAGAAGTGTTGTACATATGTACTGAATCATATGACCACTAATACGTTATTATGTGCTCTATATGATATAAGTTGGTCCAGAAAACATTACAAAAATTTAGCTTTAAAAATAATCTTTACATATTTGCTCTTTAAATATCTGGGGAAAAGGTAATGCGTAAGTAAAGAGGTTCAATTGTTATCCTCTAGGTCTCCTGGTAAAGGATATCAAAACAAAGAAAGAAAATGTTTGACAAGACATGATAAAATAGAATTCACATAAAATTTAGTTGAAAGGATGTAACACATCTGTGTGTGTGTGTGTGTATGTGTGTGTATTATTGATATCAGAAAGGAAGGGAGAGAGAGATAGAAACAACAATGGTAAGAGAGAATCACTGATAGGCTGCCTCCTGCACGCCCCCTACTGGAGATCGATACCATAACCCAGGCATGAGCCCATGACTGGAATCAAACCTGGGACCTTTCAGTCTGCAGGCCAACACTCTATCCACTGAGCCAAAACAGCTAGGGCAGCCTAATGAAAGGAGGTTGGCGACCATTCGACCGTTCGCTATGACCACCAGGGGGCAGACACTCAATGCAGGAGCTGCCCCTGGTAGTCAGTGTGCTCCCACAAGGGGAGTGCCACTCAGCTGTCCAATGGGCAGCTCACAGCTGTCGAGCACCACTGTGGTGGCGCAAGCCTCTTCCAAAGACATACCCCCTGCACACCCCTTCCCTGTATGGACTGGGATCAGGATAGGGACGGGCATGGGAACTGACTGGGCATGAGCCTGCTGGGAGACTGCAGTGGAGCAACAGGTGCAGCGGGGCTGGGATGACTGCCAGTTTCTGCCCAATCCCCACAGGCTAGGCTGAAGGACCCCACCGGTGTATGAATTCGTGCACTGGACCTCTAGTATAAGAAACATCTTATTTAAAAGAAATAGATTCTAATGAACCTACAAAACTGAAGACAGAGGTTGTGTGGAATGCATTTAGATGAAGAACCAGCACTGTGGGTTTGGCTTACAAGATTATTAAGCCCCACTAAGGCTGCAGATGAGGTTGTTAACCACAATAGACTGAACCTCTACCATCTGTAGGATATTTCACTAGGCCCTAGAGAGACAAATAATGATGAGACATAATGTTCTCCAGGTTCATTCATGCTGCTGCAAAAGAGTAAAAGTTTCTTCCTTTTTATGGCAGGGCAGTATTCTATTATGTAAATGTACCACAGCTTTTTTTTTTTTTTTTTTTTTTAAATCCACTCATCTACTGATGGACAGTTAGGTTGCTTCTAAATCCTGGAGAACATTTTGCTAAGTAAAATAAGCCAGTCAGAGAAAGTCAAGTATCATGTGATTTCAGATCGTCTTCTCCACAACTGGAAGAGAATAAGTTTCCATTGTGTTAAGCCACTCAGTTTGTGGTACTTTGTTATTTCAGCCCTAGGAAATGAATACGGTATGCTGAATAAAAGTAATTTACTTCTTGCCCTAACTGGTTTGGCTCAGTGGATAGAGTGTCAGCCTTCAGACTGAAGGGTCTGGGGTTCAATTCTGGTCAAGAGCATGCACCTTGGTTGCAGGCTCTATCCCCGGTCCTGGTCCAGGATGCATGCAAGAGGCAACCAACTGATGTGTCTCTCTCACATCAATGGTTCACTCTAGATATCTCCTTCCCTCACTCCCTCCTTCCCTCCCTCTCTCCCTCCCTCCTTCCTCCCTTCCTTCCTCTCTCTCTAAATATCAATAGAAAAAATATCTTTGGGTAAGAATTAACAAATAAACAAAAAATAATTTACTTATTTTTTAAAATATATTTTTATTAATTTATTACAGAGAGGAAGGGAGAGGGATAGAGAACTAGAAACGTCGATGAGAGAGAAACATCGACCAGCTGCCTCTTGCACACCCCCTACCGGGGATGTGCCCGCAACCAATGTACATGCCCTTGACTGGAATCGAACCTGGGACTTTTCAGTCCGCAGACCGACGTAATTTACTTATTTTATTAAACAAATATTTACTGAGCACATACCACATGCCAGACACACTTAGGAGGTGCTGGGATTAGATTTCATATATGTTCTTTCAGACACAATTTTCAACACTGATGCACAACTACGACACTAAAAGCAAATACTTAATCAACAGTATAAAATAATAATTTAAAACTCGAAAATCATGATACATATCCCTTGTGTAGCTCAGTGGTTGAGCATTGACCTATGAACCAAAGATCACAGATCAATTTCCAGTTAGGGCACTTGCCAGGGCTATGGGCTTGATCCCTAGCAGGGGGCGTGCAGGAGGCAGCCAATAAATTATTCTCTCTCATCATTAATGGTTTCTATCTTTCTCTATCCCTTCCTCTCTGAAATCAATAAATATATTAAATATATATATTAAAAATCATGAGGCATAAACTTATAGCCTACGTAGGATCCAATCAGCTAATTTTTAAATTTTTATACAAAATGAGCAATTCTTTAAATTAAGCCAGTATTTTTTTTTACCTCCATTTTGATGAAATTTTATCTATCTTAAAAAGAAAATACCAAAAAATAATTTCAAAGCCCCCTTTATATAATTGAAACTGTGTTTATCATTTTTCCATTTATTCTAATTTATTCTATTTATATACATTTTCTGAGGAATATATTCCAAACTGATTTTTAGATATAAGTGTTTTACTCCTTTCAAAGATGGATATAAAACTTAGGTTTCAAAGGGAAATAGCTGAGATGACAAAAAAGTAAATTTTATGCATTAGGTAATTTAAGGAACACATGATTGATCACTGAGTCACAGTTTCACTTTTCATTAATAAATAATAAAACCTAGAGTTAGCCTAATAATTATTTTAAAAAATTCTTCTTTCTCAGATTTATAAGAAAACAGTCAATCATATACAGGCAGTTGCTGGAAAAACTAAACTCTATTATTTTCCCATAAATAAAAGTGACACTGTAAATCTCTATATCAATACTACCTTGAAAACAAGCAGCTACAATCAGGTCTTAGTCAATTTTTCTTATGAATATGGCCCAACACTGACTGATCATTTCAAGTATTTGAAAAGCACTTGATAACTTACTGACTGATACAGAAAATAACATTTTCACTGAAGTATCTGTTTAAAATTTAGGAAGTAGAGTGCAATAAACAAAACTGCCAAGAAAACAGATAATAGCCCTATTAAACCCAATGTAGTAACATCCTATCTAATAAAAGAATAATATGCAAATTGACCATCACTCTAACAAAGATAGCTGCCCCATGTGGACACAAGATGGCCACCACAAGATGGCCAGTAGGGGAGTGCAATTGTGGGCGATCAGGCCAGCAGGGGAGGGCAGTTGGGGGAGACCCAGGCCTGTAGAGGAGGGGAGTTGGGAGCGACCAGGTGTGCAGGGGAGGGCAGTTGGGGTGACCAGGCCGGCAAGGGAGGGCAGTTAGGAGCAATCAGATTGGCAAGGAAGGGCAGTTAGGGGCAACCAGGCTGGCAGAGGAGGGCAATTAAGGGCAACCAGGCTAGTAAGGGAGGGAAGTTAGGGGTGACTGGGCCTACAAGGGAGGGCAGTTAGGAGTAATCAGGCCTGCAGGGGAGGGCTGTTGCGGGCAACCAGGCTGGCAGGGGAGGGTAGTTGGGAGTGACCAGGCTTGCAAGAGGGGACAGTTAGGGTGACCAGATTGGCAGAGGAGGGCAGTTAGAGGCAATCGGGCTGACAGGGGATCAGTTAGGTGTCGATCAGACTGGCAGGGGAGTAATTAGGGGGTGATCAGGCTGGCAGGCAAAAGCATTTAGGGGCAATCAGGCAGGCAGGCAGGCAGGCAAGCTGTTGAGAGCCATCAGTTCTGGATTGTAAGAGGGGTGTACAACTGCCTGTTTAGGCCCGGTCCCACTTGGATTGGGCCTAAACAGGCAGTCGGACATCCCTTTAGGAATCCCAGATTGGAGAGGGTCCAGGCTGGGCTAAGGGACATCCCCTTCCCCCCACGAATTTCATGCACCTGGCCTCTAGTGTCTGTCTGTATCTATCTATCTATCTATCTATCTATCTATCTATCTATCTATCTATCTATCTATCTATCTTATGGCTAAGGGACTGTCCCACCATGTGCCTGGTAGCTATGATGTGCAATGACCACCAGGGGGCAGACGCTTCATCCACTAAGGGAGGGAGCACGATTAGTCCCAGAATTGGCCATAGATTAGGTTGCTGCTGGGCACTGGCCCTGAATCTGCTTCATCTGCAACCCGGACACAGAGAGAAGGAAGGAGGGAGCCCAATTCCTCACAGAATCAGCTGTGGGTTAGGTTGCTGCTGGGGCACTGTTGCCCTGAATCTGCTTCACCCGCACCTGGATTGCGAGAGGGCTCAGGCCAGGCAGAGGGACTCCTCTGGTGCATGAATCTGTGCACTAGGCTTCTAGTTTTAATATAATTTCAAATAATGATACGAATACCTTACATCACCTTGAATGCTAAAAAAAAAGAAAGGATTTACTTTTGAATTTCAAAATAACAGCTTGATGTCAGATACTCACATTATAAAGGTCTCTTGTTTCTTCTTTCATTTTTGGGATCTCAAGAAGTAGAGCCCAGACTTCACCTCGGAGCTGGAGTGGGATTCCTTTGTAAATTCTCCTATGAAACTTATTGAAAGGAAACATAAATTGAAATTACCAACTGACAAAAGCTTAGACTGGTCCCTTAAATTAAATTAATATTTGTTAGTCTTTTATTTTCATAGTATCCATAATAATTAATTACATATTTTTAACATGGCACATTTGGATATTATCATCTCTATTTTTCAGATTTTAATAGAGACATAAATGCAGAAAGTAATAAAATGTTAAATATGCATACTACATTAATATTTCCATATCATTCATAACAAAGGTGCTCCCTAAGTAGCATGAAAGCATAATCAATGCTTTTTTAAAGTTGTGAATATCTGTTTTACACATTCCCTATTGATGTGTAATCAACTGATTACATACTTTCTTCCTTTTAATCCATATATCTAAAAGGATCCAAATAGCAAAAAGGTTTCCTATTGCCAGAAGTCTTCAAAGAGTATAGACAGTGCTATTAACCCCTACTCTCTTTCCCACAATCTTCTCATCTTCTCCCTGGGCTCTTTAGAACAAAGCAGGTCCCTACATCTCATAATCTTAGTTAATTCCACCCACAACCTTCATTACCCTCTCCTCCCCCACCCTTTCCTCTTCTCTTTTCAATTATTAATAATTTATTTAGGAAAATCTTTTTCCTTTTCTTAGTGACACAGATCCTATCTGATCAGACAAAAATAGTAATAAATCCCCATCAGGAAGGAATACCATCACTTTTGAATGAAATTATGCATACAACATCAGTGTCATCAATTCTTTGGTTCCTTGAAAGTATATTGCTAATCTTCTAAGAATCACTCAATTCTCCATTCTTGTAATTATATGTTTTTCCTCAAGGCTAATTACTCAAGATAACATACAAACCTATTATGGTCATTATAAAGTTTGAGTAATAAAACCTGGAAACTTATATCCTTATGATTAAAATAATGCATTTAAAAGTATGGCTAAGAAAATAAGATGCAAATTTTAATAAATGAAATGTTGGTGAATTATGAATAAACAGAGTTAAACATCCACCACTATACTACTTACATTTTTATAAACTAAAGCTTTAAGAAACTTTGATTAAATGGTTTAAAAGGAGTGACACTATAGAGCAACTTTTACTATGGAACAGTGAATATTGTGAAATTGATTCAATTAGATAATTACACAATTTCAGCTTTGTTCTTTGGTATAAACATAATATGCCCCAAGTCAAAAATTTAAGCAGATAGTGACTAAAATCATAGAAGTTTTAATGTGTAGCAGTTCTATCTGGAAGAATATAAACAGAAAGGCTTTGTATAAACTAGACTCTGCTACTTGTAACATTCCCCATGTATTAAACATTTACCACCATTAGCTACAAACTGAATGTGGTAAAAAAGCAAATGATTTATTTTCTTAAAGAAAGTCTGTCATCTATATTCACATCAAAATCATAATATACTTTTTAAAGATACATCATCCACTAAAAGTTACTTCAAATTATCTCCTAAATTTCTAGAGTGAAGGTGCTACACTATAAGCAAACTATATAATAAAAGCCTAATACGCAAATTGTCCCCTCAGGCGGTCGTTTGACTTGGGAGACCGGGAATTTGACCACTTGCTATGATGTGCACTGACCACCAGGGGGTGGCCTGGAAAATGACAGGCATCAGCCACACGGCGCTGGCAGTGGGCAGCAGTGGAGCTGCTGCCAGCCCCATGAGTGGGACTGCGGTGGGATGGTTGAGCAGATGAGCAGATGGCGCCAGGCCAAGGAGGTGCGAATGGGGGGCCAGTTGCCACCGGAGGCAGTGGTGGCAGGGGGCGGGGCCACGCCAGGCTCCCAGGCGCTTGATCAATTGCTCTGCAGGTAAGATGGTGGAGCAGGTGAGGGGGCGGTGCCAGGCCAAGTGGGGCTGTGAGTCTGGGGGCGCAAGCTTGGGTGTGATCCCTGCAGGCCACCAAGGGACCCCACCTGTGCACCGGGCCTCTGGTCTGATATAAATATCAGAAAGTATGGAAATTATTACAAATGTAAAATGTGGAATTTTATTAGCCAAGTAGAATATAATGGCAGGTAAATAGATTAACTTTGATAGACTTGAATCTCCATTAAGCAGATGTTTTTCAAAGAGTAAAATAAGAGCTCTGACATGTGCTTCTTAAACTATATTACTTAAAAAGCTTTTTGACATTTGATTGTTGTCACTCAATTTTGCATTCAACAATCGTATATAAAGTACTATCTATTACTTATCCAAAAGTTTAATAGAAATATAGGAGAAAACCCAACAAATTCTATGATAAATTGGGAAGAAATAATAGAGAAATATCAGATAGCAATAAAAAATTAATGGTCCAGTGTTACTACAGGGCTCAAATAAAACAATTAGTCACATATGGACAAGGTTGAAAAAGAAATGCTGGTACATTATCACTATCATCATCAACAGGGACAATTAAAGTAAACTTTTAATGAGAAAACTTTTAAAAGTTATTTACAGATATTTATCTCATTTAATCATATTGACAACTCTGTAAGAATTATTATCTCAATTTTATAGATATTGAAAGTAAATCACAAAGAGGTAGAGTGGCTTGTCAAACAGCACACATAAAATTTTACCATTTAGTAAAAAATACTGATTTAACATTTTATAAAAATCAAAGACTATCTTTCAAGACCACATATAGTATCCATTATTCTGCTCAACTGTTCTTACTTACTAAAATACAAGAAACATGTATTAAGGAAGTCCAAGATCAAAACTATTAAAATAATGGTAATAAAATTGTACCTAAAACTTAAAAGTAAAATAAAATATGAATCTGAATTTAAGCTGTGAGGGGTAATGAAATGAAGCATGTACAAAAGTCATATGTAGACAGAAAAAAAAATACAGATGGAGAACAGACTGATAGCAGCTAGAATGGAGGGGGTAGAAGGGCTGGGTGAAAAAGTGAAGGAATTAAGCAAAAACAAACAAAAAACACTTAGACACAGACAACAGCATGGTAATTACCAGAAGGAAAGGAGGGTGAAGGAGGTGGAAGAGGGAAAAGGGGGATAAATGGTGACGAAGGAGACTTGACTCTGGGTGGTGAACACATACTACAATATACAGATGATGTATTATAGAATTGTACACCTGAAACTTATACTTTTATTAACCAATGCCAGTCCAATAAATGCAAAATTAAAAAAAGAAAAATTATGAGACCCCAAAATAAGAATTTTTAATTATGTTTATTATGTTTAAAATTTTTATACTATTATTTATACAGGCTGACTTACGGTTATATATCTTTCATCACAAATTTTCAACTATCATAAAAATTTTATAAAACAGTAGAAATTACGTCAAAGCACAGCAGTTGTAATAAAATTTGTTTATTCTCCAGAACAATAATCCAGTTTACATCTGTTAAGAATCTTTCAATGGACAATGTAATGTCTCATATTTTCTAGAATAACTCAGGAAATCAAGGGACAGAGAAGTGATTCGCCTAGGTTAGAGAATTATCTTCTTATTCCTACTTCAAGGTATCTCTGCACCACCTCCTAGCGATTACAGCTTTATTAAAGTTGCAGAATTTGTTAGGTGATAGCTGACTGTCCCAATTTATAAATTCATTCATTCAAAAAAGAAACTGTAATGACTGCCTGCTTGTGGCCAACACTTACAAGGTACTATGGCTACAAAGATGAAAAAGTTCTGTGCGGCTCATAGTGTGGTGGGAAAGAGAAGTATGTAAGCAGATAATTTTAACATCATAAAGCCACATATACAAGTTGTTGTCAGAGCTGAACATCCCACTCTGTCAGAAGAAGTTGTGATGAGTACAGACTCCCCCAGAAGTAGGCAAGGTTGGTAAAAGGAGAATGGTAAGCATTACCTGTAGATCTGCAAAAATAACACCCGGGGACAGTTAGTCCTTATGTAGGATAGTGAGATTCCAAGGGGAAAACAGAAAAAGTTTACAGATAAAAGTGTTGGGAGTGAGGTCAGTAAATCTCCCGTGATGGTCACTTTTCTTGATCCAACACAGTGCCTCTCATCCCGAGACTGCATTAGAGGTACTATAATGCAGGGAGGAGGGAAGGGATGAATTCATGTTAGGACAAGTTTCTTTCAGACAAGATGGCAATAAACCCAATACTGAAGGAAACATAGGGATTTTCCAAGAAGAGAAAATGAAGGTGGGGATGAGGGTGAGAATAATGATGAATCTAACAGTAATAACAATGTTAATAACAATTACACTAACATTTTCAGATGATTTATTAGGAGACAACATATTTGTTTCTAGATCAGAAATTTTCAACCTTTTTTTATCTCATGCCACCCATAAACTAATTACTACAATTCTGCAGTACACCAAAAAATATATTGTATTCTTCACCAATATGAGAAAAATAGATTTACTTTTGATTGATTTAAAAAAAAATAGTAGTAATTACCTATCATTTTTTGTTTCAAAATGTCTTGATTTTTTTTTTAAATCAAGTGCCTATAATTATAGATAGAATTTCTGGTACCAAGAATTAACCAATCAGACACAACCTTATTACATGATGTGATCAATAAAATACAACTCTATTATATGGCCTATATATTTATGGTTCAAGATAAGGTAATCACACCAGATGGCTATTGTATTAGTTGTTGTCATTTTTTTAAATTTGACAATCTAAGGGAAAGAGGTCAGTGCCCTGACTAGTCAGGTTTTGCATGTTTTAAAAATTCTTGTGGCACACCAGTTGAAAATCACTATTCTAGATCAATTTATTCCATGTAATATTATTACACTCCTAAAGAGGTAGGTACTAGTATTATCATTCCAATTTTAAGGGTGAGAACATTAAGATGTGGAAAGGTTAAATAACTAGCTCAAAGTCATTCTAATAAATTGTGGAAGATCTGAAATTCAGTATTACTTTAGAGGCCATAGTCTTAACAACCATGATATAGAACTACCACATATAGTTTAACAACATATTTTAATATTCTAATTGAAAAGTACTATCATTAAAATTC